GCAACCAAACCATCACAGCAAACAAACAAACAAACAAAAACCAGAGAGTTTACCTAAAAATAGAACCCAAAGTCCAAATCCAACTTGCTCCAGTGCTGGGTGAGAAGAACCCTGGAGCAGGAGTCAGAGCAGTCATAGTCATCAAAGCATAGCATTAGTGTCTGGCTCCATGCCAGCTCACTAGAGCTTCCTCTAGCTGATAGACAAATCTAAGAATGATGGACCCAGTAAGTGAGGCAGGAAAAACATACCATGCCTCCATCACTCCCCCACCCCATCCCCACACACAAGTACAGACCACTGGACTCCTTACCCGAGCAATCAGCTCCCCAACCATGCCTGTCCAGGTGCCGTTGGCTTCAGGCACGCCGTACACACCATCCCCGACAAGGCGGATCTTGTAGTTGAACCGTAGGATCTCAGCCAACTCCTTGAGCATGTCCACACAGAAGCCCTCGTAGCGGTCATTGCCTTCCATCTCCTGGTGGTTCCCCTTCAGCATTAAGTACGGGTTTTCCTGCAGCAAAACTGGGCAGCTGTCATTCTCATCTTAGCCCTGGTGTTGCAGCCATGTGGGATGGGTAGGGCTGGACACAGGAGGTCAGGGACTTGATGAGAAAGGAGGAGGGATACAGCGTAGGTAACATGCTGCCTTAGAGGTGGTGATTAGCTCTCCTCTTCTCTGCACTCCCCAAAGTGTTCCTTCAAGGACATTCTCTTATCAGAAACATACATGAGTCCCACTGCATAGAAGGCCAAGGTGAAGCCCTTTACACCACTGGAAGCCATCATCTGGCCTCCCCTCTCCTCTCTCATTTTGGTTTTTCTCCACAGACCTATTGCTAAGGAATACAAAAATACTTTTTAGATAGCAGGCTACGTAAGAATATAGACATGGTGAATGGGTTTTTTTTTTTAAATGATGCACCCACAGGAGTACTACTTGGCCATAAGGCAGAATAAAATCCTGTCATTTGATAAAAAAAAAAAGTTGGAACTTGAGGTTACCATGTTAAGAAATAACTCCAATTCAGAAAGAAATGGATCACATGTTTTGCTGTTGTTGTTTTGTCAGCACTGGAAAGTGATAAACAAAAAGAATGATCTGAAATTTGACCAGGGCATCAAGGAAAAGTTAGCAGAGGGAAGGTGGAAGGGAGGGGGCTTGGTCAAGCACAATGCGTGCATGCTTGCATGTAAAAGAGTATAGCACATTAGTATATATAACCTACATACATCAGCAATTATAATAAAACACTCCCAAGCATCTGAAAGTTAGCGGAAAAAGTCATACTAAAATAAATATTGTTTCAAAAGAAAAACCAGGTGTCCTGCACATGCCTCCAGCAGCACTCAGGAGAAAGAGGCAGGCAAATCTCAGTGAGGCAGAGGTCCACCTGGTTTACATAGTGACATCCCCTTTAAAAGTTTAAAAAGACAATGTCCATAAACAAACAACTGTACTCCAAGACAGAGAGCACTGGGAAGCAGGTAGGCCACTCTGGTGAGATGTCTAGGGAAAGGAGTGCCACAGAGAAGGAAGGGAGATCCACACTGGGTTCTTGGCAGAGAGATGTGGAAACACTGGCAGACAAAAAGGTGGGGATTGGGCCAGTATGGGCTGGGGAAGGGCATGTTCAGACGCCTTTCCATGTGAGAAGGGGTGTGGCCCATTGGGCATCTCCAGTGTAATTGGCACATGGGTTGTGCAGAAAGGGTTAAAAAAAGAAATAGAGATGAATGAGGCTAAATGTGGGTCTGGATGCTTGGATGAGGATATTTTATGACAGATGAGATGTAATGGAGGAGCATCTTGGGTTTTGAAGACACAAAACCGAGTAAAGAATACTAAATGCTGACAAGAAGCATTCAGGGCAGGGATGGGTTTTCTCTCGATACGTCACAGGAGCCTGAGCATGTGTGGCTCAGGCTAGACTGTAGAGATGGAAGAATGTAAAGTCAAAGGTAGGTCCGTTGCAATGCCTGGATGCGTATCAGTTGCAAAAAACAGGGATCCTAAGATCCTTGGTTTCTGGATAGATGACTGATGGTGATGTCACATTGACCGGGGATGGTTGGGCAGGAAAGATGATGATGTCACATTAGACATGATGGCTGGGCAAAAAAGATGATGCCACGCTGGTTATGGATGGCTGGGCAGGAAAGAGGCATACTGGGTTTGATATGGTGGCAGTCTATGTGGTGGGGAAACAAATGGAGATTAAACATGCTGGCAATGGCAAGGCCTCACCATATAGGGCACTGTGGGGAAGAATTGATGCAGGACTGGCTAAGAGTGATGGAGGACCACACCCTCAAGGGGACCTAATCTTACATTGGAAAGTGAAGCCATGTAGCATAACAACACCAGCAACCAGAGGCTAAAAATGAGGAATGCAGGCAGGGGTCTGAAAGTCCAGGGGAAGGAGTCTGAAGAAGGATAACATGGCCATTCCCACCCAGAGATGGAGCAGGGCTGTGAGATGCTGCTGGACCATGGACACAGGAGTTTTCCAGGCAGGCATGGAAGGCATGTAGGACTACACGAATCGGGGCATAAATGCTTAGAGGAGCCTATGGACCAACTGGAGAAGCTGTGAGGTGGAGTACCGGGTTATCCTTACAAAGAGACTCTCTACCTCAAAGTCACACCTCCCCTCCAAGCTGCAGCTCTTCTCCACAAAGAACAGGTTGGAAGGGTCCCCAAGCGTGTATGCCATCTGTAATTCCCTGTGGGATGATAGCAGTGTTAGGCAGTGTGATGATGGCCTCCTTTAAAGATGGGAATGGACAAAGGGCATGTGTGTGATGACAGATAGGTGAGGAGGAATTCCTGCGATTGGAGGAGGCAGATGGAGAGGCAATGGGAGGTTGGAGAGGGCAGAATGTGGGGGTGGGGAGAGGAGATCACCTGTGGGCCCAGATTCCAGGAAGCAGTGGGTGGAGACAAAGTAGGGAAGAGGTCTGGGGCATGGTGCAAACACTGATACAGAGAAGAGGAAAACTGGTGCCAGCCAGTGCCAGCCTGAGTTGTGCCAAAGGTGGGGGGGCATGTAGGAGTAAACACTCAACACGAGTGCCACATGTGGGTCTGCAGAACTGCACAGGAGCCAGGTGTGACAGGGAGCAGAGAGTGAAAGGTGCACATAGGAATTAGACGTGTCTGTTCTTCCACGCCACCGCCCTGCCACTGGGGGCAGAAATAGCTAAGCATCGCAGCAGGAGGATGCGCTTTGAGGTTGAGATGCTGTGTCAAGCCAGAGGGAGCTTCTGCACAGAAGGATGGGAGGCTAGGCAGGCCAGAGACCCCGGGATGGGGAGAGCAGTTTTGAGAAGCATGAAGAGGGACTGTCACAACAGGAGCAGGTTGTATGTCTGTCAGGGTGTGAACTCTGGGTTGAAGGTGGTGTGTGGCTCCACTTGTGATCAAGTCCACTGTCATGGCAATGAGACAAGTTAGTCTCCTTGCCTACCACATAGTCTGTCTTCAGCTCAGGGTCCTCTCCATGCCTCACTCATCTCTAGTCCATCTTTCATCTAATGCATCTTAACCTTAGAGTCGCATTTCTTCTGACACCAATGTACTTCTTAGAATCATCCCAATGCTCAGGCCAAGGCACCTGTGAAAAGCACCCAATGCTTCCTCCTCACACTCGATGGATGATGAGGCGTGAGGCTGTGCAGCTCTCAGAAAGGGACAATGAGGCTCTCCCTTCCCCTCATTGTCATCCCCGAGATAACTGCTGATTAAAAGAGTGAGAAGGGCCTCTAGCCTTGTGGATAGCACATGGCTGAGGGTTTGTTTCTACTCTAGCACCAGAGTATGTTCTAATTCTTCTAAGAATGTCATGAATTCTCCTTTCCTTATGCTCTACTCTCAAGTTCCCTTGAAATCCACTGTCATGCTCCAAGTAAAAGCTCATCTTGGATGGAAGAGAGGTGTTGGACGGCCAAAGTATCAGCAGGCCTGCAGCTCATTAGCACTTTGGAAAATGAGGGAGGCTGGATGCTGGCTTGTCATCAGCAGGGGTGCTGGGAAGACCTAGGGTGACCATACAGCTATGTGACTAACTCGGGACCCAGCACAGAAAATGGGTTCTGAAGATGGCAACTGTGGCTAATCCCAAGTGTTCCTGGCAGGAGTGAGACACGGTGGGTATGTCCCAAATTTTAAGGGATAAATTGCTCAGGATCACCATTTGCAGGGAGAATTTATGAATGGTCACATAGGGCTAGAATTAGCACGTTTGTTCCTAGTGGGAGTTTTTGGTTTGGATGGGCCACCTCAGCCCCATTTGCCCAAGAAACAAACCAATGTTGACTTTGGTTTCCTTTGAACTAGCCTCACACAGGAGTTTACTGCCAGCATCCAGCTTCTCCAAACCTCCTGTGTTGATATGGACACAAATACACAGATACACACACACACACACACACACACACACACACACACACACACAGGCACACACATACACATAGGTACATATACATACAGGCATGTGCACACACATGCACAGACACACACACAGAGGCACACACACAAGCACACACATACATAGACACACACACGGGCACAGACACAGACACACACACAAATACACAGGAATACATACACACATACACAGGCACACACACATACACAGATGTACACACAAATACACAAGCACACACATACACAGAAACACACATACACAGGAACACAAATACACAGGCACACATTGATAGGCAAACACACACAAACAGACACACAGACACACACAGACACACACACACACACACAGTCTAGCAGGTTCCCTGTCTCCTGTCCCCACTTTTCTTAGCTATTAACTGATTTCTCAAAATTCCTTCCTTGAATCCTGTTCAAAGGTATTTCCACATTCAGACTCCAATTCTCAAGTTCCTTTGTGTGTCAGGCACCCCAATATTTGAGGTACTCCCATTCATGAAGGGAGTCAAATAACTATGAGAAAATGTGTCTGGTCAGAGGGGCAGGAAGGAAGTGACAGGACAATTTTGAGTGTGCTCGGGAAACAAACACAGCAAGTGGGAAGGGGGCCTGGGAGGACTCCATGGACGATTAAGGACAAAGAGGCACAGGAGGGGGCTGAACTCTGGGCTAGGGCATGGGCGGAGAGACTGATGCGAGGGGACAGACTTAAGAGTAGAAAAGACAGCTGGAAGGAGAGCCCTGCAGCCACACCCTGTATCTCTCCACTAATGTAGCAAAGTCGGGTTGTCCCCAGTTCTCAGCTGGATAGGAGACACCACCTTCCTCTAGTCTTCCTGGCATTCTAAGTGGCTTGGGTGAGCAGAGTAAGAGCTGAGGCAGGAGAGCCCAAAACCTGGGAACCTAGATCTGCAGTTCCCACTGGTTCACTCCAGCTGTTTCCAGGCAACTGTGGGTAGCCCCTCCCCTGTGTCTCACCTCCACTCAGACTCTGCCTCCTTAGGGAGGCCACACCTGACCATCTGGGAACCGACCCTGCCCATTGCTCCCAGACTACCTTCTAAGGCATGCACGATTTGGGTAGAGGTTAAGCAGCCCTAAACCAATGCCACACCTGAGCTACTTCAGAATCTGAAGCATTTTGAGTGCTGACAGTACCCTACCAGGTGTTCCAGGGTCTAGAATTGCTCATTAGAGGTGTTCAACTAGTAATGTCTATGCAAGTATTCCCAAACCTGAGAATCGTTTGAAACTGAAATGTTTTGGGTCAGAAGCACTTCGAATAATGGAGACTCAATCTTTGCTGACGTTTTATTACTGCCTCATAGTCCATACTGAAACAGGAGCTCCAGGGATTTTTTTGGTGTTTGGTTCATTGACATTTCTTGAGTACTGAACATATAGAAGTATAAAGAGGTGCCCAATAAATATTTCTTGGGTGAACAAATGGAAACATTCAGTGGCCCATCTCCAAATGAAGAGAAGAAGGAGTGGCCTAGAGCACAAGATCCTAAGCACTGTGGACACTTGATTCTGGATTATGCTCTCCCTTTCCCAACCAATGCCCATTTACAGGAAAGCCCATGTTTTCTAGCATTTTCTAAACATTAACAATGCTGCCCTTCATTCTCCTTTCCCATTCTCTGTAACTGCTTCCTGGCTTTAGGAGTCCATTGCAAATGTTGCTTTCTCAGGCTTGTTGCTCCGCCCCTCCCCTTTTCCTCCTCATGTCAGGGCTCTCGCTTCCCACTGCTCTCTTGGCTTTTAGTTCACCCTGTTTATAATACATCAGTAATTCCAGCCCAGGCTTCCTGAGCCTTGGGAGTTCCTGAAGGTCATAATGGAGGGCTATAGGCCCTTCTATTTTATAAAGAAAGCCCATGAGAGTTGAGCATGTTTGCAGACCTTGGACATCTATCTAGTGGAGGCTAGACTACTCAGTTAGCCTATATATCGCCTCTGCTCTGGGCTGAAGGGATATCAGTATGACTATGCTAGTTCTCTCTCCTTGGTGAGATGCTGTGTTGGGTGGGGAAATACCCTTTTCATTAGTTAAAATCAGAGTAGGGAAGAGCAAAGTAATCATTGATTAACATTTAGTTAGCTTAACTGATAGATCTTTTGAAACATGAGTTCTTTGGAGATAGGGGTGATGGCAACACCTTGGCCGTAGGTAGTTGACTTGGCCTGTCTGCTCAGTGATAACTTCTTTGACTTTTGAAACATGAGTTCTTTGGAGATAGGGGTGATGGCAACACCTTGGCCATGGGTAGTTGACGTGGCCTGTCTGCTCAGTGATAACTTCTTTGATGATACAGACCAATCTGTACTCATCTTTGGTTTTTATGAGTGAGCAGAGTGCCAGGAAGACATCAGGGGGCAGGGTTGGGAGGTAGGCTGATAATTACTGAATAAAAATGAATCAAGTAGAAAGGCAGATAGTCTCTTGACTTAGGGGTTCCTTGAGAACTCTCTTGTCACCATCTGGAAGTGAAGGGAAAGGCTGCAGCAACCCACGGACATTAAGGGGTCTACTGGAGGGTGTGACAGGGGAATGGCTTGATTTTGTATCCAGCAGGTACAGCGGGTACCAAGCAAAGCTGGGAAAGAGTGAGGGTCGTCTCAGGAGACTGGATCCAGCTAGTCCCACCTTCATCAGAAGATCCCATTTCTGGGGTTTCTAAACAGCTTTCCTAGCCGCCCAGATCCCCGGAGAAGCATCCACACACTGTGGATGCTCTCCCTCCGCCCCAGCTGCTCAGCAGCTCATCAGATATCATTTCCATACGAGACAGCAACTGGAGTGCAATTACACTGTCATAAATTGGCCTCTGTGCTGTGATTAGCATTCCCATCTTCTGTTTCCCAGTAAGCCCAAGAGCAAAGAGCCTGGGGAGGAGGCACCCTCGGGAGCTGCAGCTGGAGGCCCGAGAAACCCCGCTTACCAGGATGGTGGTGACAACGAGGGTGGTGTTGAAAAGACTGTCGGAGATGTTGGAGGCGTAGAGGCGGCTGTCCATGCTGAGGCCCTCTGCCACATGCCACTGGCCAATCTGAGGAGACCAAGGGGAGAGGATGGGAAGACTTGGGGAAGGGACAGATTGGGCTGCAGGTTGCTGGACTTGAGAGCTGCATAGGACAGTGCTCTGCTGTGGGTAAATCCCAGGAGGGAAGGGTGGGGAACAGTATGGAGGAGCAATAGGCTAGACCAGAACTGGGGCACATGATACAGGCTTGAGGGTCTTGAGGGAAGGGGGATGACAGAGTGAGAAAAGAATGAATCAAAGACTTGGAAGAGATGAGAAGGGAGAAAAGAGTTAGGATTGTAGCATGGTGAAGAGAAGTTCTGTCAGCAGAAGGGGGAGGGAAAATGGGGAACTGTGTCATTTTCAAGAGGGGCAGATAAACAAGGCTCTTTTGCTTTGGCCTGCCTTCAGTAAACCCAATTATCTAGGTAAGAATAAGAATGGCAGCATGAACAGCTGTACACTTATTCATTGGTGAAGAGAGCATGGTGGCTTATGTCTGCACTTACTTCACTGTAAGTTTGAAGTTAACCTGTGCTACCTGGTGAGTTCAAGGATAACCTTGGCTGTAGTGAGACCCTACCTTAACCAACAAACAAAAATGTCATTGAGAGGACAGATACAAGACGAGAAGGAACTAGTATATACTAGGCCTTTAATGAATGCTTGCCAAGGGCTCTGCATGTAGCTCAGTGGTGGAGTTCTCACCTGGCATGAATGATCCCTGGTTTCAATCCTGGGCATTGGAAAGCCCAAATGAAATCACACTACTAAAGGAGCAGAAATATAAAATGCTTATTGAATAACTAAACACATGGATGAGTGAATAAGTTGGAAGAGGGACGAGTCAAGCCCTAGTCTTCTTAATCCACTACCTCACTGTGAGGCTTGGCATCACCCTTGGCTTTTCCAGCTAGAAATGGTAATAGGAATGTTCCTCTCCCTTTCAGGACTGACAGATCTTGTAGTACCAGTTTGTCATCCAAACCCTACTCTAACCAAGAGCCACCTCAGTGATGTTTCTGAGCCTCCTAAGCTGCTTCCTCTTGTGTCCAATGGGAATAATAACAGAAACTTCTGGTGGTTGCGGTGAGGATGGCACACCATAGTGTTACTTTTCCTTCCATTTCTCTGCTGTGTTTTTAAATCGTCTTTTTTATTTTTATCTTATTGTGATTAAAAAGAGTTTACAGAGAGGGCTGGAGATATGGCTCTATTGCTAAAGCATTTGCTGTACAGGCATGAGGCTCTGAGTCTGGATTCCCAGCATCCACGCTAAAACAGAAAAAGCCAGGCACAGTGGCGTGCACCTTTAATCACAGCCCTGAGAAGGCTGAAGTTAGAGGATCTCAGAGTCTTACTGGCCAGTCAGTCAAGCCAAATTGGAAAGTTCCAGTTTCAGTGAAAGTCCCTGTATCAAAAAATAAGGTGAAGAGAGCCTAGAAGACACCCTGAGTGGACATCTGGCCTCCATGTGTGCACACCACATACATTACATACATATGTGCACAAATAAGATATACACTCAATCAATTTTGGCTGGCTTCAAACTTGCAGCAATCTTCCTGCCTTGACTTTGCAAGTCCTGACATGAGCCATCAAGTTCTCTTAACCAATTTTTGAGTATAAGATATATTACTGTGGACTAATCCATCATTCTGACAATTTTGAGAGGGTCCAATGGAATGCTGTTCATAATAAACCTTATATTACATAATATCTATAAATACTGTGCACATATACAATACACAGTATAATTCTGCTGGCTAGACCCCAGACAAGTCACTTCCATTGCTGAGTAACTGGGTTGGCACCAATGAAAGATAGCTGATGGTTGCCTGCATACCCAAGGATGCACACAGCCACCTCTCCTAGGCACCGTCAGCAACTTCCCTGGAAAACTCTCATGAGCTCTGCAGTTGCCCTGTTGCTATAGATGGTTGCCTGCATACCCAAGGATGCACACAGCCACCTCTCCTAGGCACTGGCAGCAGCTTGCCTGGAAAACTCTCATGAGTTCTGCAGTTGCCCTGTTGCTATGTCCCCCCGAGCTAGGCTTTCAGGTGCTCCAACATGGAAGACTTAGCTCCCTCTTGACCCTCATCCTTACTCCCATGGAACAAAAGGGCTTGGAGTCGCAATGCAGAGATGCCAGCAACTTGCCTTTATGCTTTGGAGAAAATGGAGCATACAAAGGGCAGGTCAATCAGGACCACCTTAGACCAGCAGCTGGGAGTTCTGCTGTGCCAACAGGACCATGCATGAACCTATGGGTCATGACAGGTGAGCCTTACTGGTGGCAAAGAGTAGATCAGCAAGAGCTCCTCTCTCCACCTCTGGAAGGATGCCAACAAAAGAGAGAAACAGCTTTCTCTTCCTCTGCAATGGCACATCAGGTCCATGTACACTATGTTTTATATACAATGCAGAAGCCAGAAACCTCAACCCTGTGCTTCTAAACCCTAAATGCATCTTCCCACAGAAGCCTGCAGTACTCTGCTTATTGAACATTTTAGGTGCATTTTTACTTCCTGATGTATCTCCCTGCAACAACCTTCTATATTCTCAGACCTCAGCACCTTGCTCCTGGCCATAGTAGCAGAGAAAGCCACTATCTTCCATCAGCACTTTGCTCTTTCTAGTCAAGCATCGACAGAAGACTGATGAGCTCCCCTGTGACTACTGTATCTCCTATTGCCTCTCAAAGGGACCTATAGGTGACATCGTGCCTGGCATCCCCCTTCCCTCCTCTTTCTACAGGGACAAGGGTGAGAGGATGAAACTTATGCTGTGGGATTTCCAAACAAAGGGGGGTGGAAATAATTACAGGACACCTGTTGTGTAATATGTACACTACTCTGTCACTTTGAATTCTCCCATCATACTTTGGAGGCATTGTAGTGTTTCTATTTATTAATGAAGAAACATGCTCAGACAGGTTTAATGGCTTGTCTTCTGGGGTCACAGCTGGTAGCTGTGGCACAGGTTTGAATCTAGAGCCGGATGCTAAATTTTTGATCTTTCCCAACTCTGGTGATGTCTTTTAGAATGAGGACATGACTGTGTTTTTCGTTTGTTTTTAATCTGAGAAAACCAGATCAACCAGGAAGTAGCCTCAAGAGCCCTCAGAAACCCAATATGAACTTTAGGAACATAACTTTCTTCTCTCTGGTCCTGATAATCCATAAATCCAGTAGGAATTTCTCTCCTCCCAGGGCCTGTTTTCCTGCCTTCAAAATGTGTAGAATTGGCTCCCCAATGGTCCACTGTGCCAGAAAGAACTCTACTTGGACCGGAGGAACATAAAACCAAGCAGGCTGGATGCTAGCATTTGGATGTTTGAAACAAGACTGAACTTTCCCAGCATCCTATTGTCCCTCTGGTCCTCACACCAGCAAGGCCACCTGCTCAAAACAGCCCAGCTTCTCAGCCTCTCTCAGGCAACAAACTAGGCTCCTACAATAGCCATGGGCAGAAGAGATTTTTCCATAGCCAGATCTGACAACCAAGTCTTCACCTCTGGAGACCTGGCAAATAGACTAATTAGCCCCTGAGCTCCAGTCAAGAAATGAGTCTCCCATCTACTCTCATATTAGCCCCAAGAAATTAATAGACCCATCAGCTCCAACAAAGTGGCTTGGCAGCTATTAGCCGGAACAATCTAATTGCAGAAAGACAGTGGGAAGGGTAGAGATGGTAGAGCCAGGTGCCCTGGGATACAGGCTAATTGTTCCACCTACTGGGTACCATCCATGCCACACATGTGCAGCAGCGGGCAGAAGATGTCACTCATCACAATATTTGAGCCTTCAGCTGCAGCCAGTTCCCCTTGCTCCACCTCACTGACCCTGCCCCCTCCAAGCCTTCTGCGGACACAGCTGCTGTGCCCACATGCACAGGCTTCAGTTCACTTCGGATCACTCCTTTGCCTCTTGTTTGTCCCTCTTGCTCTGCTGTTTTTCCATTTTAAAGGCCCTGGGGACTTCAGTAAAGGGCAGGAGAGAAAGCATGCATCTGGGCAGGGCTGTGACTAGCCCCTATTATAGTATCTTAACGCAGGAGAGAAAGCATGCATCTGGGCAGGGCTGTGACTAGCCCCTATTATCTTCCCCTTCTTCAGGGAAGAAGACCTCCTTCACCTGGGCTGATGTGGTCCAGCCTGTGCACAGCTGAGCATGCAGAACTGATGCTAGATTTCCACCTCTTCTGGCCTTTGAGCATAGCACTATCTGCACCATCCAGGCCATAGCTCCAGTGTTGGAAGACTCTCTTTTAACCTGGTTTCTCTGCTTATGAATGGTATGACCTCATGTAAGTTACTTATCCCTTGGAGTCATTTCCCTATTCGTAAGATGGGGATTAAAATAGCACTTGCTGCCTCAAAGAGATTTTAAGATTAGTTCAAGTACTGTGTTAGTCAGTACTCATTAGAGTATCCTTGTTGGGCACTCTAATGGGTTCTCTTCCAGGAGGCAGAGTCTCTTCTGTGTTCTCCAAAGAGTGCCACGCTGAGATGGTAGCTTATTAGACAGATTAGGCCTGTGCCACCAACTTCGGTTTTCAGACAGCAGCACCACCATGAGAGACTGAATCAGGAATTTAAGGGATAGGACCAAGAGTCTGGGCTGTAGCAGTAGTGTAAGCTGTTCTGACACTTGACTGGATTGTTGAAGAACACAAAGACAAACAAGAGACAATCAGGACCCAGAGAACGACTAGGATAGAGAGATTCACAGTGATGAAGGCACATCCGTGCCAGGGAGGAGGTGCTTTAAAACTGACTCTCCTAGAAAAAGAGACCCCAATTCCTAGCCTCTGCCAATTTCTGTGGTGTAAACATTGCCAGCCAATGCCATATTTCATATAGAGCACAGAGCCAGGAAGACATGTGCAATGGGCTCACCACAGCTGGAGCAAGCTGGTTTGGGGCATACAACAGATGCCGGCTCTGCCACCAGGAGCCAAGCTGGACACTCAGGTGCACAGTAATCTCAGCTCACCCTATCAGAAAACAAATTCAAGCTCTG